ATATACAGCATATATATATATGCTGTTCTTTTCTGGAGGACTGAGAAAGAACAGAGTATGAGTGGCCACATGCCAAAAACCGTAATAAAATGGGCCTCATTCCCCCGAAGCTGAGGGGGTCACTGATACGGCGCTGCTAAAATCTCAGGGCCGCGACAGGCTGCCTAAAAGGAGAAGGACTAAGATGGCGATCTGTACTTTTAATGCACGAGCGCTTGCATCGAAAGCGTGCATCGAAGATCTGATGATGCAAAACAGGAAGATCAAGTACGACGTGGTCGGACTGACCGAGACGAGAAGGCACCGCCAGCTGCATGCCACTTTTGAAATGGGAGAGGGACTGTTCCTTGGAACATGCGACAGTAGAGGTGTCGGCGGTGTAGATGTCCTCGTCAACACGCACTTGGCCATAAACATCGATTTGTACGAAAGCCTAACAACCCGAATCGGACGTTTGCGATTGAGAGGATGTGGCTCAACCCCAGCTCTAACAATCTTCGTTGCTTGCGCACCAACATCGAGCTACATCGAAGAACAGCTGGAAGCATTTTATATAGATCTGAAGAGGCCATACAGAGTAGACCACACTTTCTTCAAGATCACCGTCGGTGATTTTAACGTCAAGATTGGCCCTAGAGAAACGGCTGAAGAGCTTCACATTAGGACTCACGGAATGGAATGAAATGTGTGGGGTGAATGGCTGTCCGAGTTTATCATGTAGATCCACACCATCCATGGTAACTCGCTCTTCCATAAGACATGGAAGAGCGAGTTACCATGGATGGTGTGGATCTACACCGAGCTCAAGTCATTCTCGGTAGACATGGAAGTCATCTGGTGGGCAGTTCCACAATGAAATAGATCACATCATCGTCAATCGAAAGTTTTGCCTGGTTGACGTCACTGTTGTTCCAAAGTTCTGCACGGGATCAGACTATCGCCTCCTCCGAGCTAGATTCCGCTCTTTAGTGCGTCGAGAGGGAGCTGCGAAGTTCAGGAAGCGAAGCCCCAAGACTGTTGTCAATAGGGATCACTTCGCTTCATTGGCGAGTTTGTGGAAAGATTCCGTTAGTGACAACATCGATGACGAATACCCCCGGCTCGTCGAACATCTCCACGATGGTGCCAGGGAAGCTGAGAGCCTCAAAGATGTCAAAAAAGTCTCTCCTTGAAGACTCTTGAGCTAATACGCCACCGTGGAATCGTGCAAGCTGCAGGCAATAACCAGCTAACTCCGAATTCGCGAAGCTATGCAGAGAAGCGATAAAGGAAGATCTGAAAGAGAGAAGAGCAGCAGTTTTGACTGAAGCCGTCGAATCCGGGAAGAGCATTCGCAAAGCCCGTCGGAGCTTCGTCAAATATAAGAACAAGATGACTTCCCTTCGTCGTCCTGACGGGGCTGTTACTGCATCCCGAAGGGCAATGGAAAAGGTCATCTACGACTTCTACTCGGGTGTCTTCGCCAGCCACGTCCACCTGCCTACTTACCATCTTGGGCAAGACGGATACGTCGTCCCTTCGGTTCTCCCTTCCGAAGTTCGACATGCCATCACGTCGATGATGAATGGTACGGCACGCGGTCCCGACAGGATCAAAGCAGAACATCTAAAGAGCCTTCCGCCAGTCATTGTCGAAACCCTGGCCCGGCTTTTCACGCGGTACCTGTCGGAAAGCAAAGTACCCACTTCGTGGAAAACTGGCAAAGCCGTGTTGCTGTGCGAGCAAGCAGGGTTTTGGAGAGGGTTCAGTTCAATCGATCAAATCCACACCGTTACAAGACTCATTGAAGTATAGTGGGAGTACAAAATGCCGTCATGTCTTACATTCATCGATTTGAATGAAGGCTTTGATACCGTTGAGAAAGAAGCGGTAATGGAAGCTCTGGGCAACCAGGGTGTTCCTACTCAATATGTGAGGATGCTTCGTGAGCTCTACAACAACTTCCCGACCAGGATTTCGCGCATTCTATAAAGAGGTCATCATCATCGTGAAGAGAGGGGCTCGTACTATTCCGTCCAAAGTTTTCAATGCCGCTCTCGAGAACGTCATGCGTCATATGGGATGGGAAAGCATGGGAGTGAAGGTCGACGGCCGCTGCATACATAATCTCCGCTTTGCAGATGACATCGTGCTCATAACACCGAACATCGAGCAGGCGGAACGAATGCTGGCCGAGTTTGATAGTGCTTGTGGAAAGATCGGCTTGAGACTGAACTTAACGAAGACGATGTTCATGCGAAACGGATTGGTACCTGATGCTCCTTTCATGCTGAACGGAACGAATATCTCCGAATGCTCCAGCTATGTGTATCTTGGTCGAGAAGTCAACATGATGAACGACCTAGCTCCGGAGCTGAGCAGACGGAAACGCGCGGCGTGGGGAGCATTTAAGAACATCGAGCAGGCGGAACGAATGCTGGCCGAGTTTGATAGTGCTTGTGGAAAGATCGGCTTGAGACTGAACTTAACGAAGACGATGTTCATGCGAAACGGATTGGTACCTGATGCTCCTTTCATGCTGAACGGAACGAATATCTCCGAATGCTCCAGCTATGTGTATCTTGGTCGAGAAGTCAACATGATGAACGACCTAGCTCCGGAGCTGAGCAGACGGAAACGCGCGGCGTGGGGAGCATTTAAGAACATCGAGAGAGTAGTAAAGAAAACTAAGAACATCCGGCTCCGCGTTCACCTTTTCGATACTGCTTCCTTCCTGCTTTGACATACGCCTCAGAGATTTGGACTCTACGAAAGCAGGATGAGCATGCAGTTAGCGTCATTCAACGCGCTGTGGAAAGGACGATGCTCGGAATTTTCCTGTACACGCAAGTGCAGAAGGGAATCCGGAGTTCCGAGCTCCGTCGACGAACGAAGATCAGGAATGCCGTTGATTATGCCAAGAGATCGAAGATCAGGTGGGCCGGACACATTATGCGATATAATGATGACCGTTGGACCAGGGCGGCTACGGACTGGATCCTTCGGGACTTCAAGCGAACACCAGGACGGTCGCCGACGAGGCGATCAAATTTCTTCACGAAAGCTCTGAACGGAAGGAATCTTTTGCCTCGTGTCCCTCGAGCCATTCACTGGACTACTCTGACTCGCGGCATGGACGAATGGAGACGTTACTGGCGCCCGCTCAAAAAAATCGATGACCTACGGGAGTACAGGTGATACAGGTGATAGCTTCCAGAAATACATCACGTTCGCGAGTTGCCTTTGCAAACGTTGAGAAGGTTCTAAATCTCAGAATCACTCCGGCGAGCCGCTTACTGTTGTCGAGGGCCCTCATTTGACTTACCACGGTCGCGATAATATTTTGCATCTTGTCGCGATGGGTGGCAACATTCCCTTACATATTGCACGTTTTCAAAAAAATGTTTAACAATTAATGGAAGTACATTTCAATTATTCGAATAAAAAAGAAATACATGGCTCACCTCCTCCGCATAATAGTCGGTAAGTATGTGCCTTCGCTATCGGCATTTCGCTCCGTCCTGTCGTCGGAATCTTCCTCTTCCTGCTCCGGAATGGGCGCGAAGTCGCAAAGATAGTGGGAGGTTCAACTCAATTCATGTTATCAGATTCTGGAACAAATAATATTAAATAGTTTTAGTGACGAGTTATGGAGCAAGGAGGCTTATCAGATGGGAGACTTGACAAGACGAATAATAGTCCAGCAGACCGCTCGGAAGGAAAATAAAGGGCGAATATCCTTTCCACTAGATGACCACTCCTTAAAGGCACCGTTCACGATAAAAAAGTTATTGAGATCTTACCTTATTAATACTCAGCGGCCCCCATGGGTTGTAGAAGGGACCCTCTCACTCCCCCAACCTCGACGTCCAGGGCATAGTGGCAGCTCCATTGTTGCCGTAGTTCGCGTGCCCGCCCCTCGATCGGTGTCACGTTAGACGAGTGTCGAGACAATACAGATTGCTATTATTCGTTCTAGGACCCACGCACAATCAGCTAATCGCCGAGTGATGAGGCGATGTTTTTCTCCCATTCTTTTTTCCTCTGTTTTTCTTTTTGCTGCCGCGATCCCTTATTCAATTTCCTACTCATAGAGGCTGAAAAAGGTGAGCTACTTTTGCTGTTACTAAGGATTTTTTTGTTTATTTATGCTTATAAGTGAATGAATTTTTGCTTACCATTGTCTGTTATTCAAACCAGAACCCACACACGCGCAGTGAAACACACTATTTAGCTCGTACTGACGCCCCACCCTTCTTCATTTTTCTGGTTTCATGCACGTCCAGCCCCCTTTTTAACGTTTCTTCGATACCTTTTTTCACTTTGGAAACACCGATGCACGCAGTTTCTTCACCTCAGTCGCACTAGTTCCAATCTTGTCTTCCATTTTCTATCATAATCTGGATTACCCGAAATTATGTGAACGGTGCCTTTAACACGTTGACGACAATGTCGAGCAATGCTGCACGACGGTGCATTCTTCAATCAAAATGTATTTGCCGGTTCAGTTTTTTGTACAGATTTTCAATTTTAGGCGTACAAATGTTTGAAATAGCACCGGCTACCTATTGAATTATTTCCAAGACCAGTATTTCATTTTTACTAGCAACTAACAATCATGAATGGTTTAGAAACAATCTAGGCAACAAAATTTATTACATTTATTGCATTCTGACTTAGTCCTCTTGACCAGGCTCCTCGCTGTCGACCTGCAAGATGTTGCACAGAATTCGAATTCAGTTTCTGAGATTTCAGCATGAGAATCAGTATCAGGAACAACCGCAGGAGCCATATCGTCGCCACCTAAACCACCTGCAGCCTAGAAGCCAGTTGTCAAAACTTTTGCTGAAGGCTTTCATTTCGATGTCCGGGATACTCATGATGACAAAAGAGTCGCAAGGATAATAATACTCTCAGAGATCCTATTTGTATACACCTAATTCAAATTTATTACCGCCGAATTTGAAATTACCCCGAGTAGCAGCGAATCTTGGGCAAAATTTGAATAATGCTGGAGGGTTCGCGAAATATTCTCTCGTAACGTTTGTTTTCGAATATTTTTGACCGTAGTCACTCATTTTTTTCGAGAAATAACAAATCTCCGAGAAAGAAACTGCCTTGTCCCACAGAAGGACAGACACGAAAAAATTGGCTCGTCATCAACGTGTTAAATACGACAGCATATTAAGCACGCCCCCAATGAAGCAACCATCACTTATCCCGGGTATGTCCACAGGGAATTATCTACAGGAATATTCCCCTTCGAGTCCGTCTTCCAACACTATCACGTTTTGGGATCACTGACAACTGCAAGACGCAATTCCCATTATATGCTTCTAGTATATATCACATTTACCCATATGAATCGTAAAATAATATATTGGAAGCAAACCAACGCTAACTTGTTTCAGGGAAAATACCAGACATGGCGCAATCTCCAAAATTTTACGATTTCCCCATTTTACAACATCTTTGGGATGGGATGATCCATATAGAGTGTAATTTTCTTCAAATATTTCTTATTAGCAACTTATTTATAATCAAATCATATTGAAAATCCCTTCCCATCATTACAGGGTGGGCCAAAATTATGATTACAGCGCGCGCTGAAGTTCATTGCAAATTTTTTCTATGTTCATAACAAATCATTGAATTTCTTCCATTTCACAAAGTAGCTTACGTTATTACCTCTCTAATGATACTAAACTTTTGGTAGATTTTGAATACAATATAAGCGTAACTAGTCCATGAATTAAACGTAGCTTTGCATTTACAAACACTTTTGGCACGGTGCATCTACAGACGAACTAGCGAAACAAGGCAGGTATTGCATTCAACCATAAGACGCTCTCGGGAGTTGGGAACAATTGCAGATAGGAGTGGTGAACCTAGGAGAGCTGTGGTTATATTTAGGGAAAGTGTCAAGACAGCAGGGCAAAGGTCAACGTAGGAGCAAAAATCAGTTTGAGCCCAAAAAGGATAAATGAATGGATATGTCACGGAATTTTCTGCGTTAAATCGTGAACCATCCCCTGCACAACGAGACCGTTATACGATCAGAAACTGATTTCCCCAGAGAGCAGGTTAAAGAGAAGAGAATGGTTGGCTAACAAAAGCTGCCTGCCGCATCCGAAAAATTGTCCTACGGAATTCCTGTTCACCGACGAGAAAAGATTCACAGTGAAATAGGTGCTCAATAAGTAGAGCGATAACATTTATATGAAGCTTAAAGAAATGAAAGTGATACAGCGCCTGGCTCACTAACTTTCTGTGATGGCCTGTACCAGCATCACCGCCGAGGCGAAGACATCGATTATTCTTGTAAATTATGGAGTGGAAGTTGGTTTGGAGGCCTGTTTGATCTCTTCATACGCAATAGGACACTTTGGTGATTCGTACCGGTCATATTGTCACGATGAAGCTCCTGACCGCACAACAGAAATTGTCTAGAAATTTCGTGAAAGGGGTTCTTTGACTTCATAACCTTCGATCAGTGACCACTCTGGAGCCCTGACCTAAATCCCATGAATGTCTCAATGTGGTCAGATTCTGAGATGAAAGCATCCTTTAGCCCAAACAAGAGAAGAAATAAGCTCGAAAATGCTTAGCAAAAAGCCGGGACCATTTCGATGATCCTAGCTGCGTGCCACCGTCAATGCCGTCCATCGTCGTCTTTGGGGTTGGGTGAAAGCAGAAAGCAACAGATCCCAGTCTCAATGTACATTTTCGATAAGAAATTTGTGCTAAATCTTTTAATGAAATTGGTTTGCTCTATTGGCTTTCTATTCGTTTTCTGCGATGTGATTTCTGTGTAATCATAATTTTTTGCCCACCCTGTAATTCGCATTCATATCCCTTCTTTTCATATGGCGTGACGCCAAATACTGTCAAGCGCCTCTATTCCACGGATATAAATATCGATTAGTGGAAACATCTAATAAACATATAATTTTCAGATTACCACCCCACGAAAGCAGTTATAATAGATATAGACCCACACTACACCTTTGTCTCCAACTATATTTTTATTCCTTTCGGCGGATAAGAGGGAAATGTCCTATATTATGATATACAGGTATACAGGGTTTCCCAAAATTATTGGCGCCAAGTGATAGCCATATGTTTTAAGCTTCTCGACCTAGAAAGACCATGGAATTTCTATGCACGTTAACTAACACCATTTGCTACAACCATTCTCAAAGTTTGGACAATTACAAACCCACCACATTGCTGCCCCAAGTCTATAAGGCCTCCACCAGAATAATCCTAAATCGCATAATCGGAGACCTGGACATGGCCATGAGCCGAGAGCAAGTGGGACTTCGTTAGCTTACCGAAAAATGTGAAGAGTATCGGATTCCTTATGTATGGCGTTTGTCGACCACAGATAAGCATTTGACTCGGTCAAAACAAACGCGATACCAAGTGCGACGAGCAGATACGGTATTAATTCGTGCTACGTCGACCTTCTCGAAGAATTGAACAGTGGCTGTACCACAGAAATAAAGCTGTTCAACGATCCGTGTCAAATAAAAATATGCAAGGGCGTACGACCAGGAGATACGATTTCTCCGAAATGTTTGCACTAACATTGGAAGCCCTCTTCATTGATCTGGACTGGACCGGCGGTATGGAGATCGATGGAGAACAGCCGACCTATCCGCTCGTTGCTGACGATTGCTTCATTTTTGCACATGATGCCCTAGAGCTCCAGGAGAAACTTGTGCAGCTACAGATGAAATCGAGGGAAGCCGTACTTGAAATGAATTTGTCAAAAACGAAATGGATTCGCAACCAGTTCAATTCTACAGCGACTGTCGAAATAAACGGCGAAACTATCGAAGAAGTAAAAAGCTTCAAAAACCTCGGACACCAGCTCAGCTTCTTAGAAGGCAGCACCGGAGAGTACAGCAGGCTCAGGAAAGCAGCTTGGTCTTCAACAGAATCACAACGTTATCGTCAGACGAAGACCTCTCGATGAAAGTGAAAGCGTCCTTGTTTCATTCGATCGGTGATACCCGCAATGTTGTACGGCGCAGAATGCTGGTCGTCTATGAAGGCAGACGAAGAGAAATTCGCTGTGATGCAAAGATCAATGGAACGCAGAGTTTGCAAAGTGTCACTTCGTGAACATAAGTGGCCTCGATGATGTTTTCCAGGAAATGTATAAACGTAAACGAGAATGGGCCGGTCGTGTG